AAAACAGACATTCGGATGGCGGGGGAAGAAGAACGAACTGGGGAGGAGAGTGGAGAGAATGTTGCAGCAATGAAGGAATGAAAACCCAAAATCCCTGTAAATGTTCATTAAAACTAATAAAATTTAATAATAATAAAAAAAATAAAAAGTCAGTCCAGTTTCTCTATAGTACCAAAAAGAACACAGAAAAAGAAATAAGCAAAACAGTATCAATCACAATAGGTAACCACAAGATGAAATACATACTTAGGGACAAATCTAACTAGAGATATAAAAGATCTATACACAGGAAAAATCACAGAACATTATTGTAAGAAACAAAAAGAAACACAAATGGAAGAATATACTCTGCTCTTGGATAGTTATACTCAATACCATGAAAATCATAATTCTACTATGAGCTATGTTCATACCTTCTATAATTTTTATAACTAAAAAATAGATGAATGAGATCTTCTAAAAATAAAATCCTGTCTGCATAAAAAAATATTTTCTGATAGTGTAAAAAGAAGCCCGCAGATGTGAAAGTATTTGTCAATGATACACTTGATATGGACTCTAACTGAAATTTACAGGGTGGATATTACAGCATTTTAACAAGAAACAAACAACACAATCACAAAATTAGTAGAAGAGATGAATAAAAGCTTCACCAAAGGTCTGGTTGCCGACAACATATTGAATATAATGCTCAAAGTCACTAGTCATAGAGAAGCAAATCAAAACAACAGTGTAATGTCATCTCATCCTAGCAACAATGTAGTTGTTGTTATTGTTGTTGTTAAGTGCCATTGAGTCATAGACAACCATAGCAAACCTATGAATGAAAGCCCTTAATGCTGTTGTATAACTATCATTTTTTCTCTAAGTTCATAGAGTTTCTGGAGGCAAGCTATTTCAGATGTGGATGCCACTCCTGCTTCCCAGCTCCACCAAACACTGCCCACCATGGGTAACCATTATCTCATTTGACACATCTGTGTCACAGTGTTTAGCATCACAGCAGTCATCAGTTATCTCTGTACAGCAAATTGACAGACTAGTACTATATCACTTGGAAGAATGTTTGACTGAAACCAATTAAAACCAGGCTAGAGGGTGACAGGCCCTCAGGCCCAACTGACTTTTTTAACACAAGGCCAAATCCAATCAGTTCACACCCAATTGCGAATGAAACAAAACAAAATCAGGCAAAAAGCAAGCTTCAACCAAAGCAAGAAAACACACAATTGCAAAATTCAAAAAGGAAGGAAACAACCAATGTTGGTGAGAATGGAGAGAGATTGGAATTCTCATACACTAGGAATGTAAAATGGTACAATCCCTATAGAATATAGTTTGGCAATTCTTTAAAAATTTGAAATGGAAATACCATTTCACCTAACCATCCCAGTATTGGGAATATACTTAAAAAAATCAGAGCTGTGAAACAAACAGATATATGCACACTTACGTTTATCACAGCATTATTTATCATAGCAAAGATGTGGAAGCAGCCCAAGTGCTCATCAACAAATAATTGGCTAGTACATTAACACAATGGAATACTACACAGTACTGAAAAGTAATGAAGTTGTTAAACACTATACAACATGGATGAGTCTGGAAGACATTATACTGACTGAAATATCTTAGTCACACAGTCTACTATTGTAATAATAGGATCGGTACATGGTAGAAGAGATGGGTAGAAAAAGAATGGATAATGAAAACAGAATTTGAATGGGAGAAAAGACGACAATCTGAAAGGAAAGGACAATTAGAAATTATGTGCATGACAATTAGCATGGAACAGGACAAACGTTATAAAGGGAACTGCAGGGTGGGGGAAGGGAGAAAAATGTGTATTAGTGAAAGAAAACCAATCTCTTTGAGAACTTTAATTAAAAATTAATGAAATTAAAAATGTAAAAACTATTTTTAGAAATAAATATAATTTTACCACTTTAAAAAAGATTATAAAGAAATAGTGTTCCCGACTACATAGCCTTATACCCATCAAATCTACCAAAGAAGAATCTGAAATAAAAACCATTTTAGACATATAAAGTTTCAAAAATTTACATTCACCAAAACAAAAATTGTGCAAGAAAGAGGAACCTGGGGTGGGGGGTGTGGGGAAGAAAACCCAGGAAATAGTATTCTATACAGAATAAAGTGATAGGGATGACAGAGAAGAGAAAGTTTAAAAACACTCCAAGAAAATTCCTCCAGGTAAATTAAATTGATAAAATACCAAATCTATCTAAATATAAATATATTCAGAATATAATTCAATGACTAGAATTTGCTGCATACTTTTCTGCTACCATCAGGTCAACCATCACAAAGTTACTTAAAGAAAAAATCACAGAAAAAATGGGGCTCAGTCCTGGTTACATTCTAAATTTGGAAAATAACAGGAAAAATACCATTCTGCAGTTCGGGTGCAGAAGTTTATAGAGTTATTAAAAAGAAATTAAGCCAATTTGTGTTGTTTTATACTACTTGAAGGGGGAGAAATCTTTCAATAAAACCCATGTGAGCTGGAACTCAATGATTTTGGCTTCTTTCTCTGAGTTTCAGTCACCACTTTTCTATTGCTGTCTATTTACTGGAAACATTTTCATTTTCCTCCTCTAACAGCTTCCTGCCTTTTATAAATTTCCACTTCCATAGGTTTTATTGCACCAATAGTTAAGAATTTTAAGTTAGAAATGAGGGGGAAATAGGAGAAAAGACACTGGATAAAAACTATTTTCACTGAAATTCTTGGGCGTCTCTGCTCTGTGTGGATCTTGAAGCATGTCAGTAATTGCAGATAAGAGTACAGTTTATATTATAAAAATTAAAGCCATTTAAGTGAGAGAAATTAAGAGATTAGCAAATAACTCTACTGATCAGATGTGGTGAGCTCAGCAAACTTTTTTTGGGCTCCCTCCAATGTTTGTATGTTTGTGGTTTGTGGTTTGTGGTTTGTTTTTTTTTTTTTTTCTATGAATAAAAATGTGTGATACAGGTAGGAACAAGTCTCCATTTGTATTAGCCATTTGAATTTGGCTATAAGGATATTTTCTTTAATCTTCAAAGTAATTTTTTAAATCACTACTGCCAAGTTAATCAAAGCTTTTCTTTTTTTCTTTCTTTCTTCTTCCTTTCTCTCTCTTTCTTCTACTGGAAAATTGCAAAACCTTCTAGATGTGAGCCTTGAGAAAGATTTTGAAAGTATATACTAAGGATTGAAGGGGTGTTTATAGCACTAGAGACATTCCACAAAATAAGCCTCATTTTGAGGGAGAAAGAGAAAAGAAGGACATACTAACAGTAGAAAAAGAAATTGCAAACATAAACATATCTCCAACCTGCTCGTGCAGCTGCCATTTTCTTGTTTCGCATTTTGTTCTCCAAAGCTTGCTACAAGGAAAGACAAGAGAGGAAGATTAGATTTTTCTGGTCCTTTCTACTACTTTCTATTAATAAATACAGTATTCTCATATCATACCATTTTCATCTTCTTTTTAAGATCCAGATTTGCTGCCTTCTGGCCCTTGGCAGTAGCATTGAGATAATAGATGGTCAAACTAAATTAAGAACAAAAACACAGTGTATGAGGCTTTCAAGGTTCGTTTAAAATTAGCATTTACTTAGATTACTGGGACCGACTTTAAGACATTTTCTATTCTGATGTTTTTATCCAAAAGTAACATGAATCTAGAGACATATAGAGGCACTGTCTGCATTGCACAGCATCTAGGGATGAAGTTGGGAAGCTGAGCCTCAAGGCTTCTAATCCTCAGCAGGTGTTCCGCTCACTACATAGGATGCCACACTTAAGCTCCTTGTTAGGAATGTCTTTATATCAGTTTAAATGAAAATTTAAAATAACATTTTAAGTCAATGACATCGTAAATAATGGGAAACCTACTGAATTATAGAGAACTAAGAATATAATTCTTGACCTCAAAACCGAAAACTCATTGCCATGTAATCAGAATCGACTCATAGCGGACCCTCCAGCAGGTTTTCTGAGGCTATTAATCACATTGGAGGAGATTTCTCTTTTTCCTCCTGTTGAGTTGCTGGTGGATTTGAACCAGAGAGGAGTCACTTTTTGAGTAGGCATCACAATTCTCATGTTTGTGCTCACTTAATTTTCTTAGTCATAACTAAGCAACATGAATTTCTTTCAAAGTATGTATTATTTGATTAGTCTTTGAATTCCTGAGTCTTTATTTCTGTAAATTTGTTCCTCAGAGTGGTGCAAAGAGTTAACATCATTATCTATTAACTAAAAGGTTTAAGTCCACCTAAGGCATCTTGCTTGTTATCCACTTCTGAAAAATCATTCACTGATAATCTTGTTAGAGCACAATCTACTTTGATACACATGAGATTTCAATGAATCAGAATTAGTACAATGACCCTTGATATTCTTTACATATCTCTTTCCCTCAAAATGAAAAAAAAAGTCTCATAACAAAAAAAAATCTTGGTTTTTAAATATTTACATTACTAGAATGAAGATAGCAAAGCTATTTTGTGCAAACAACTCTTTAAAAAGAAATATAACTTTCCTCAATTTAGGCAAACTGAATAAACAGACAAACAAAAGATCAAATGGAAAAGGTAACTGTCATTACCATTTTGTTGCTGATAAGTGAATGCTGAACACATTTCCTCTGTTCACCAATGTTCCAGATACATCTTTTATGAGCCATCTGGTGCAAGCAGCACTATTATTGATATGGTTTAGCTAGGCATGTTTATCTCTTATATGAGTAATAGAAGTTTCAATAAAATTTCACACATGAAGGCATCTGGTGCAATATCTGTCATGAAGAATGAATTCAACAAATGTTTTGTGTGTGTGTGTGCGCACACACACACAAGCATAAGCATATGTGCACAGTGATAGAAGGATTTTTTTTTTTTAGCAAAGTGATATGGAGGATGAACTTAAAGATGTCACTATCACTTCCAACTTCAGGATTCTCTCTTTACCATTTCTTTCTGTTTTGAAATTGATCTAAAACTGGATATTCCTCACAAATAATTTTGCAGGTCCCATAAAAATGACAAGCTGAAAATTTGTGTTTGAAATCAGAGCCTCTGAACTAAAGGCAGTTTTGGAGAGAACATATTTGACTCTAACATGCTTCCAAATTTATTCCTTGTGCTGTTGTTAACTGTTATGGAGTGATCTCAAAATCATGGTGACACCATGGCATTGGTGCAAGACATAGTCTAGTCCTGGGTTACCTTACGAGCCCTTATGTATAGGATATCTGTGATCCATTGGATTTTCACTGGCTCATTTTATAGAAGTAAATTTCTAAGGCTTTCTTCCTAGCTCATCTTAAGTGTAGTACTTAAGAGTACTAGAGTACTTGAGAGGTATACAAGGTCAATGGGCCATAAATTTGCAGTTCGAGTCCACCTATTGGTGTCTTGGAAGAAAGTCCTTGTGATTTACTTCAGAAAAGTCAGCCATTAAAACCTTGTAGCAAATAGTTGTATGCTGACACATATGGGGTCATAAGACATCAGAATGGACATGATAGGAACTGATTAAGTCTCTATACACAAAAGTAGAAGCTCTGGTGGTCTAATGGGTAAGAAATTGCACTGACAAGTCAAAGGCAGGCAGTTCAAATCCACAAGCAGCTTCTTGGGTGAAAGATGGGCAATCTCTTCCCATGGAATTTACAATCTCTCTAAAACCACTAGACAGTCCGCGATGAGTCAGGTCTGAGTTGATGGCACATTAACAACAACAGTATGCATGAAAATCAGAGACTGTGACCTTCAGATTAAAATCTGGCAAGCTCCTGGTTTGGGTTTGTTGGTTTGTTTGGGGTTTTGGGTTGTTTGTTTTTGTTTGTTTTTTTTTTTCAAAACAACAAGTGAAATGTATTTTGCATAGTTATAGAGTCTTAAGAGGTGTCAGAAGTGACAAACTTTCTCTGAAGAAGGCTCTAGGAGAAGATCTTTCTTTGTTTCTTCTCAACTTCTGGTTGTTATTAGGTGCCATCATGTCGACTCTGACTCATAGTGGCTCTGTGAACAACAGATCTGAGTGAACCTTGTCCTATTTTGCATCATCCTCATGATTTCTGTTACACCCTAGCCCATTGTTATTGTCGCTGTCAATTCATCTCCTTAACGGTCTTCCTTTCTATCTCTCCTCCACCATTTTAAAAATGATGTCTTTTTTTCAAGCACTAAACTCTTGATAACATGCCCATAGTGAGATGAAATTTTACCATCTCTGCCTGTTGTATTTCCTCAAAGAGGTTGTTTTTTCGGCAGTTCCTGAAATATCCCATACTCTTCTCCAACACCATAACTCAAAGGCATTTAACTTTTCTTCTATCTTCTTTCACCGTCCAGCTTTTAGATGCATAAGAAGTAATCAATTGAAAAGACTATGGCTTGGATCAGGTACATTTTAGTCTTTAAACTTACATCATTGCTCTGTAGCATTTTGGAGAGGACTTTTACAACAGATTTTCTCTGTGCAATATGTCTTTTGACTTCTTGACTACTGTTACTATAGATCTTTATTGTGAATCTAAGTAAAATTAAATAGTTTATACCTTTTTTTAAAAATTTTTTAAAATTTTATTATTTGTGTGTGTGTGTGTACCGTCAAATCAGATCTGACTGGTACAGGAGGAGATTGTCCCTCCTTCCCCGGCAGAGCATCTGGTGGATTTGAACCGTGCGCCTCTGGGATTGTAGTTGCAGCTCCTTGCCACTAGGCCACCAGAGCTCCCCTAAATAGTTTATAACTTTAATCTTTTCTCTCTCATAATATTGCCTCTTGGTGCAGTGGTGAAGATTTTTATTTTCTTGATGTTGCAATGTAATACTTACTGAAGGCTGTAACCTTTGATCTTCTACAAGCGAGTATTTCTTTTAAAAAAACCTGATATTTTAATAAAAGTTTATAAAGAACATGGATTTCCATTCATTCATTGTTGCCCATTTTCCTCCCTGCCCCATTCTCCCCCAAGTTTGCTTTTTTCTTTGAAAAAAAAATTCATTATTATAGTTCCCACCTCCCCCCCGCCCCCTCCACTTTCCTATGTAGCTCTTATTCTGGACTCTTGTCATGCCAATAATACGTAATCATATATTCCTTTTGTACAGTTCTCTTCCTCATTTGTTTCAATTCCATGTACATTCTTTATCCCCTCTTTTCTTAGTTTCTCCCAAACTGCATGTCAGTCTTGTTTTAAAACAGTGGCATTATGCAGTATTTGTCCTTTTGTGACCAAGATACTTCACTCAGCATAATGTCCTCCACAGTCTCCCATTTTGTATAATATTTCATGAGTTCTTTGTTTTTCAGTGCTGCATAATATTTCATCGTGTGAATATACCACAGCTTCTCCATCCATTTGTCTGTTGATGGGCCTCAGGTTGTTTCCAACTCCTTGCTATTGTGAATAAAGCAGCAATAAACATAGGTGTGCATGTATCTGCTTGGGTGGCATTTCTGGTTTCTTTAGGGTATATCTCCAGGAGTGGAACTGATAGGTCAAAAGGTATTTATATTTCCAGTTTTTTGAGAAAGTGTCTTACTGTCTTCCATAATGGTTACAACATTTTACACTCTCACCAAAAGTGAATAAGGGTCCCAGTTTCTCCACAACCTCACCAACATTTATTGTTTACTGTTCTGTTGAATTTTGCTATTCTTACTGGGGTGAGATGCTATCTCAGAGCTGTTTTGATTTGCATCTCTCTTAGAGCTGGGGACTTTAATGTGTTTGTTTGCCATCTGAATGTCTTCTTTAGTGAAGTATCTATCTATTCATATCCTGTGCCCATTTTTCAATTGGGTTGTTTATCTTTATCTTATTATGGCACTTAAGTATTCTATAAATTCTAAATATAAGTCCCTTATCAGACATATCATTACCAAAAATTTCCCCAGTCTTTGGCTTTCCTTTTGACCCTGTTGGAAAAGTTTTGGGTGTGCATAGGGATTTGACTCATAGAAGGCCTCATTCATCTCCTTTATCCTCTCCTGGTTGTAGGCAGCTGCTGCTTTGTATACCCACAACTAAGAATGTTTTTCACCTTTTAAAGTAATTCTCAGTGTACATACATATTTTTTAACATAAACTTTTTTCTTTTATACTAGTTTACTTAAGAAATTTGTATACATTGTGCTTCACACTGGATCTTTCCCATTTCCTTAACCCACCCCTCCCTCCACCCATCAAATTGTGTGACTCTTTAGCTATACACCTTACCCAGCCTCCCCTCTTTTTTCCCCTCCTTGTTTCCAGATTCTCATGAAAGTTTTACAGTTATGTATTTATACAATAATGATCTTACACAGTATTTGTCCTTATGGCACTGAGTTAGTTCACTTAACTGAATGCTTTCAAGTTCCCCCCAAGTTAAGTAATGATTTACAAAATCATTTCTCCTGCGTGCCGCATTGTATTTCATCATTCGAGTGCACCGTAATTTCTCAATCCATTTGATTGTGGTTGGACATTTGGGCTGTTTCTATGTTCTTGCGATGATGAATAGCACTGTTATAGACATTGTTATACAAATCTCTGTGCCTCTCAGTTCTTATTTTCTCAGGGTATAATCCAAACAGTAGAATAGCTGGGTTATATGGAATTTCTATGTTCAGCTTCCTGAGGAAGTGCCAAACTGCCTTCCAAAGTGGTTGCACCATTTTACAATCCCACCAAAAGTGTATAAGAATTCCTATCTCTCCACATTCTCTCCAGCATTTATTACTTGCTTTCTTGTTAAACTTTGCCACTGCTACTGGGGCGAGATGGTATCTCATTATGATTTTGACTTGCATCTCTCTTGTTGCCAGTGATTTCAGGCATTTCCTAATGTGCCTGTTGGCCATTCGAATATCCTCTGCTGTGAAAATTCCCTCCATGTCTTTTGCCTATTTTGTAATTGTGTTTTCAGTCTTTTTCTTGTGGAGGCCCTGTAAAATTCTATAAACTTTTGATATGAGACCCCTGTTTGAAATGGTATTGCCAAGTGTTTTATCCCATTCAGTAGGTTTTCTTTTCCCTCTATTGGAAAATGTTGGGGGGATTTTTATTAGGCTATTTTTTTAGTTGACTTTTTTTCCTTAATCATAGGATTGCACAATTTGAACAGTAGAGGGAAGAGTGGATAAAAAAAAGGGGAGAAATCCAGTGTGAAACACAATGCATACAAATTTGTTTAGTAAACCAGCAGAATTTTTTTCTTAAAAATTTTTTTTAAAAAAGGAAAAAGTTTTTGATTCATCTTCTTTAGAAGGTCCTGATTCATCCAGATTGTGCATTTCTGGCTGTACATAAATATTTTTAATTTGGTTTCTTGAACCAAAACCCTAAAAAATCTACTACCTTGCCCTTTAAGAATAAAGAGTGCTGACCCTGCCTCTACACCAGACCTGACAAGTGGCAGTCAGTCCTTTTCAATACCCTTTTCACTAAGGGATGACATATTGAACTCAGTGACGGAGCTGCAAAAATTGAGGAGGAATGAGAAGTAGACACTATGAAGACATAAAGGTGAATCGAACTTATTAATGACATGAGCTGGGGCAGTTACTCAGAGCTTTTTTGTACTATGGTTTCATGATTAATACGGCCAAGCTTGTTGTGGAGTTGAAGGGAGTTCATGTGTAGGTGCTCCCTGGGACCACAGAGGCAGCCACGATTGTCTTGTGCATCTACCTCCTGAGGCAGCTTACTAAATCTGTACTGGCATTGGAACAGTGTTATTTCTCTCCTGAAAAAGAAATTTGTCTCTGAGGAAGTTAAGAATATAATAACATCTGGCATTTCAGTTTTATATGTTTTTGTTAAAAAGTCAAGCACAATACAAGAAAAAGAAGAACAAAGAAAATAGTAGCTATAATAAATATTGATTCCAACTCATGGTGTTCCCCATGGATGTCAAAGGAACATTGTGTACCACAGAGTTTTCAATGACTGTATTTTTGGAAGTGCTTTACCTGCTCTTTCTTCCTAGAAGTCTCTGAATAGACTTGAACCACCATCCTTCCCATTGGTAGCCAAGCATCAGCTCTTTGGCACCATTCAGACATAGCAACATCACTAAAAGGCCTTAACTCTTAAAGGCTACACAGACTTTTAATCCTTAGAAGTCACTGTATCATGAAAATTTAGAGAGAAGAAATTGCTTCAAAGACCATCTGGTAAAACAGGTTATTTTCTACCACATCTGCACCAGAAATTTCCTAAGTATTTGTAACAGGAGCCCAGGTTCAAGGTTCTATAATGCAGATAATGGTAATATACTTTGTTAATTATCCCTATGGACTACTAGGTTTTGTTCCTTAAAAGGAATCAAAGTATAAAGGAGCAAACATGGGATTTACCTTAAAGAATCTGTTCCAATTATTATTTTTTTCCAATTATTGTTATGATTACTATTACATATGATCACTTGCCTTCTCATCTGGGAAAATGACTTTACTCCTGTCAGTTTCCTAAGTTAAAAAATTGGGGAAGCTGACACCTACCCTCTATACCTGATATGGGTTATGACAAAAATGAAGGCACTGAACTTAGAATCCTAGCTCCTTACCTTCAAATCAGTAAGAGTTTTCTCCCTGAGGTGTCCTAATTTTATTTAAACAAGTCAACTCCTTTCTGAGTCTCCCCTAATACCACATTCTTCTTCATAAAGTGCAATTCTTCTTCATAAAGTGCAGCTTCTTGATTAATTTGCTCAGCATACAGATTGAGTAGAGTTGGAGAGAGGATACAACCCTGAAACATTCCCTTCTTAATTTTAAACCATGTATACTTCCCCTTGTTCTGTTCACACAGCAGCCTCTTGATCTAAGTATAGGTTTCACATGAGCATAATTAAGTGTTCTGGGATTCCCATTATTTTCAATGTTAGCCATAACTTGTTATGATCCGCAGAATCAAATGTGTTTGCATAGTCAGTAAAGCATAAACAGACATTCTTCTTGTATTCTTTACTTTCAGCCAGGATCCTTTTGACATTAGCAATGATATTGCTGGTCCTTCTCAATCTTGCTTGAATGTCTGACAGTTCCCTATCTAGGTACTGTTCTCTAGCTGTTTTTGAATGATCTTCAGCAGTATTTTGCTTGTATTTGATATTAAACATATTGTTTAATAGTTTCCACACTTTTTTGAATCAGCTTTCTTGGAATGAGAAGAAATAGAGATCTCTTCCAGTCAGTTGGTCAAGCAACTGTCCTTCAAATTTCCTGGCATACAGTGGTGATGAGTGCATCCAGGGCTGCACCTGTTAGTTGAAATACCTCAATCAGTATCACATTAATTCCTGGGGACTTATTTTTTTACCAGCCTTCAATGCAGCTTCAGCTTTCTTCATTACCATTGGCTCCTGTTCATATGGTACCTCCTGAAAGGTTTCAATGGTTTTTGGTTGTTGTTGGTGGTGGTTTTTTGTTGTTTGTTGTTGTTGTTTTTTGGTTTTTTTATACAGTGTCTCTGTACTCCTTCCATCTACTTTGGATACCCATAGCATCCTTTAATATCATGATTAAGGCTTAGATTTGCTTTTGGGTTCTTTCAACTTGAGAAATGCAGAGCGAGTTCTTCAGTTCTCTTGAACCACTTGCTGCAGAAGATCAAGAAATACAGCCTTCAATATGGATTGCATCCCAATGTCAAGAAAATAAAAATTCTTACCACTGGACCAGTAGAGAACATCGTGATAGATGGAGAAAAGAATAAAGCTGTCAACTATTTCAACTACTTGGATCTACAATCAATAAAATAAAGAGATATAATGCACTGAGAAAAGTCTATAGTTAGAAACCTCTCCAAATTATTGAGGAGAAATAATGTCAGTTTGAAGACTGAGGTGTGTCTGATTCAGGCCATGATTTTTCCAGTAAGTTGTTTATCCATCTGAGAATTGGACACTGAATAAGGATGACAGAAGAAGAATTGGTGCCTTTGAGCTGTGGGTTTGAGAAGAGCACTGAATATCCCAAGAACTTCCAAAAGAACCAACAAATATGTCTCGGAGAAAGTGCTCCTTGGAGGCAAAGGTGCTAAGGCTTTGTCTCACATACTTCAGCCATGTTGTTAGGAGAGTTTTTCTTGGAGAGGGACATCATTTTTGAAAAGGTGGAGGGTTGGCTCAACAAGGTGGATGGACATAGTGACTACTACAGTTGGCTCAAGTTTGTCAGGTAATATGAGGATAGCAAGAATAGGACAGGGTTCACACCTGTTGTTCAGAGGGTTGCTATGGGTTGTACTTGATTAGATAGCATCTAACAACAATAACAACTCTTTTTTAGCAACTAGAATTTCTCAAGTTTCCCTTCAGGTAGTTTAATACCTGCCTTTGTGGCTAGTAGCAATGACAGTTCCATACTTTAGGAAGAGTTTAAGGGTTCAAAGAACCCTAGTAGCATAGTTTGTAACATGTTAGGTTGTTAATCAAAGAGTCAGATGTTCAAGGCCACTCTACTGGAGAAAGATGGGCAGCCTCCTCCCAGAAACCTGATGGAGACTTGCTATGAAATGGTACCTACTTGACATGGTTTGGTTTGGTTTTGGAGGGATTTAAGCTTTAAAAGGAAGGGCAAGGGCACTTTCTTGGGTCTTTCAAGGCAGTCATATACTTTTATTTACATAAGTTTATCTGTGGTGACCACAAATCTGAAGCCAGTGAAGATTCCAAAACCAAAAACAAACCCACTGTGTTCAAATTAGTTCTGACTCAAAGCAATGATGATTGCAAGAGCAAAGTCTTCTACCAAATTCCCCTTTGATGTATCTCTAAAGTACTTTCCTGAGACCCTTCTGGCCCCATAATTCTACTATCACGAACATCTTATTTTGAAGAGGAACAAGGTAGGAATAAGGACAGGGTTCATTTTAAAGATCCCCCTAAGCATCTAGCCCTGAAATACAGCTTCTAAGGCCCTCAGGGGGCATATTAGCTTAGAAGATCGTCATTTCTGTGTATTCACAGCCATCTGCTTTATGGAACTGGAGGTGGGGGCTGGTTGCAGAGGGAAGCTCAGTGTGCTGATTAGATTTCACATTTAGCATTTATGTTTCCCCTGCTTTCACTGTTTGGTTACTCGGGAACAAATCTTATAATCCTGGGAAGGCAAAGACAGATGCAGATGGCAGTGAATTACATCCAACAGGATCAGAACATGGCTCATGAATTTCAGCCTCTCAACTTCATGTAATCAGTGTCGAATATGGTTAGTTTACAGGATCCTGGGGGAATAGCAAGAGCTGACAAATCTGAGACATAAAAGTAACCAGGGATCATCATATTAATGAGAAGTCAACCTTTGTAGATGCTCTTAAAACACACAGAACATGTCTATCTGGTTACTTTTTACGGGAAACACATCGTTTGAATTCTTATCATGTTAATACTATGATGTGGGAGTTATTATTTTTTCTTTAATCAGTTAAAAGTCTTAAAAAATAAAACAAACAAAAGGAACCAGGAAGAACATCACAAAGGCTCTTTCTGAGAGTAAAGAAAGCACATACGCCATCACCAACACGACAGCGATGACCAGTCCCGGGTTGGACAGCTGTCTCAAGATCTTCGCCATCCAGCTGGGGAAATCATTCTCCAACGTCTCTCCAATGACTTCAAACATCCGATTTTTGCCGCTGGGGGAACAACAGAATGAGTTTTATTTAAAACATAGAGAGGGAACTATAGTAAGAAAAGGAAGGCAGGTCTGAAAAATCCATTCCTAAAGAGAAGTCAGTGAAAATCCCAGGATGCCAGTGATTTGATACAGAGAGGCGGTGGAGCATTTTGTTTCCTTGTGTATGGGGTCAACATGAGTTGCAGTTTAATTGACAGTAGCTAAAAGTAGTGGTCACATAGGAAGAAATCTTTCTCAAATGCTTAGAAAGCATTTAAAAAAACCCAAAATGTTTTACATGCCTCTGGAAACTTTATGAACTTTAATAAATGTTGATAGTTACAGAAAAACTTCAGGCTTTTTTTTCCCCATAGGGCCAGTATGAACCATGTTTAACTCAACAGCAATCAACAACAATAACAACACCACCACCAATAAAAGCACATCAGCCACATATCTTAGGTCAGAAATTTTGTTTTTCTCTCTTGGAGTAGTGAAGATCTTTCAATAGACCAAAAAAGTAAATTCTGCTTAACCAATTCTTAACTAATACTAATTAGAAAGAGTTATGATACCTGAGCAAAACTTGGGTGGTACAAACTGTTAAGCACCCAGCTACTAACCGGAAGGTTAGAAGTTAAAATCTACCCAGAAGAAACTCACAAAGAAGGTCTAGTGATCAAATTGTTCCAGGTCATGTTCACCGAAATACCCACAGAGCTGTTCCACTTTTATTCATAGTGTCACCATGAGGTAGAACCAAGGTGACAACTGTTTCTTCATCATATAAGAAGTGATCATGAAGCACCCAATGAGGTTTCTTCTTCATTAGTCCATTCTAATTGACCATATTTCCCAACTGGCATATGGAAGAGGTAGATGTGAAGATTGTCAAAGATTAGAGGATGAGACAATCTATCCTTCCTTCTCCAGCCTCTGAGGCCTATGGTTGATAAATAAGTTCATAAAAGGGGTACTGAAATCTTAGAGACCAATTCCTACACACAAAGCTCTTCATGTCTATATGTCTCAGAGCAAGTCACTAGCATCTCTCATGTCTTAAGCATCTTTTCCAAGTTGGGCCTCTTAGTAAAGAAAGAATTTCCGGTCTCTTCATTATATCCAAACTACAGAAGGATGTGAGGAGCCCTGGGAATTCCTTGTTCTCATTTAGGGTGGGAGCACCACTTAGCAATAGTCCAGAAGCCCTTTTAAATCTATCTGGAACCACATAGAATAGTGAAATGCGAATGCACTTCACTTGTAACTCTCCTGTGACCATAGTTCCATCCATCCTTGATTAGAACAGTTAAGAACAAGCCTGTCTTACAAGATGCACATACACAGATTCCTGTCTAGTTTGCTCCTAGTTCTGCTCCAGCACTTAGGAAACACAATGAGCAGCCATTATTGATTCACTAATACAAAGTACTTCCCGCACTCTACTATACTTTGGACACCGAAAAATGAAAATATTGTGTTCCCATTCTCTAGAAGACAGATTACCAAGGAAAAGAGACACATTCATGATTATAACTATTCATGTAGTAGCAGTATTACTGCAGAATGTCAATTGTTACTGTTCGACCTAAACCTGCACGTGTTATATGTGATATTATATGTGAGCTCAACTAAGATAAATACATATGAAAAAATTAGAATATAAACTGCTGAGATGTGAGTGTTATTTCAGAGTTGTTGCAGAATGTTGGCAGTATTTTTTTTTAATGTTAAAATGTTTCCGTAATTTACATATTACCTAACGTAAAGGTTTTTGCAGTGAGATGAAAATATATTTTAAAAAATCATCATAATGAATTCAGGGAGGCATGTGAGAATTTAAAGAAGTAAAAATTAGTGCTCGTTTCAGCAGCACATACTACTAAAATTGGAACAATACAGAGAAGATTATCATGGTCTCTGCATAAGGATGGCACTTAGATTTGTGAAGTGTGCCATATTTTTAAGCAGTGATCTAGTTTCATTTAAAAAAGAACATCATAAACAAACTACAAACGAAGTAAATTGTTCAGAACTATTATCATACAAGTGTGAGAAATAATGTGTTAGGAAGTGAGGTGGAGCAAGTAGAAGAATTTTCATCTGGACACCAAATAAATAGTTTTTCATTTGTTAATGTAAAACTACCTCACAGCCTATTGGAATAATTTCCTGGAATATCTACCTTCTATCCTGAGGCCTCATAAAACCAGGCCACCTTGTCTGAACACATAGCTAGCAGCTACGTCATCACCATGAGACTTCAACATAGAACAAATTATTGCTCAGTTCAGCACCATTTTTAGCTTCCCTTAACTTGTCAAATACGGATTTTCCAATTTTCTGGTAACACAGGAAACTGGTGGACTTCACTCTGAAAAAAGTACCTTGAACTCAGAAGCACAGTGGACACACAGCTTTTAATAAATGTTTTCTCTAAACACTGGCTAAGAGATTGTGCTGTCCATCCAAAGGCAAGTAGTTTGAATCCACTAGTTGCTCTGAAGGAGAAATCTGAGCAGTCTCATCCTGTGTAATTTATAGCCTCTGAAAATCCACAGGTGGGTCAGCCAGCTATGAGTTGGTCCCAACTTGATGGCACATAACACCAACTCATCCTATAGCTGAGAAAATATTTTTAAACTTTTAAGTCAGACAGTAACCCAAGTAACAAGGCAAATATTCTGTTCCAGAATAGATAGAAGAGATAGTCTTTTTTTGGTGGTGGTTGTTATGTTCCATCAAGCGCCTGCTACTCATAATGATCTATAGTTATACTCATAATGATCTATAGCTCTGAACCCTGCTCTGTCCTGAGCCAGTCTCACTGACCCTGACACACCCTATCCCATTACCCAAGTTATTATATCAATCCATCTCATCTGAGGACTTCCACTCTTGTGCTGTCCCTCTACCCTTCTAAGCATGATGTCCTTCTCCAAAGACTGGTCCCTCCGTGCAACATGTCCAAAGTATGGGAGACAGCACTTCAAAGTCCTTTCCTCCAAGGAGAAACTTGGATTATCCTTCTCCATGACAGACCTATTTGTTTTCTTGGTGGTCCATACTATCTATGTTCAATACTCTTCTCCAGCACCACAATTCAAAGGCATGGATTCTTCTTCTGTCATTTTTAGCTGTAGATGCGTAGAAAATGATTGTGAACCATTTCAAGAGATCAAGCTCACCTTAGTTCCTAGACTGATATCATCACTTTTAAGCACTTTGGAGAGGTCCCTGAGAGCAGACTATCCCAGTGCAATTCATCTTTTGATTTCCTATCTGCTGGTGCCAAGTGGTGATTGTGGAGCTGAGCAAGCTCAAATTGTTAACCATCTCCACCTATCATGGTGCTGCCAATTGGCTGAGTGGTGAGAATCTTTGTCTTCTTGATGTCTAACTTCAATTCATACTGAAGACTATAGTCCTTGACATCCTTCAACAAATGCTTCAGATCCTCCTCAATTTTGTCAATCAAGGTTGTGTTATTTGCATATCATAGGTTGTTGATGAGTCTTCCTCAAATCCTGATGCCACGTTCTTACCTATAACAAACAGCCTCACAAATGATTGGTTCTGCAAGTAGATTGAAAAGCTATGGAGACAGGGCTCATCCATGACACACTCCTTTCCTATTTTTGAATATGCAGTATTTCCTTGCTCTGTTCTGTGGACTGCTTCCTGGTACAAGTATAGATTTCGCATGAGCACAACCAAGTGTTCTGGGATTGCCATTCTTCTCAAGGTTGGCCACAGTTTCTTGTAATCCACACAGTCAAATGCCTTTGCATAGTCAACAAAACACAGACATTCCTCTGGTACTCTCTGCTCTGCCAAGATGTATCTGATGTTGGCAATAATGTCTCTAGTGCCAAGACCTCTTCTCCCAGCTTGTGTTTCTGGTAGTTCTTTATTGATTCCAGTAAATTTTTTTCATAATCTTCAGAAGGATTTTACCTCATGTAATATTAGTGATACTGTTCTATAATATCCACACTCTGTCAGATCTCATTTTTTTTTAAAATAGAATAAATGTGGGTCTCTTCCAGATAGTTGGCCCCATATTTGTCCTGCAGATTTCCTGGTGCAATCTGGTAAACATGTCCAGGGCAGCATCTGTTTACTAAAATATGTCAATTGGTATTAAATCAATTCCTGGGGCCTTGTTTTTTTTCGCCAGTTCCTTCAGAGCAGCTTGAACTTCCTTTTTCTTCACCATTTCCTCTTGATCATGTTTTTTTCATGAAAGTCTTCTGAGTCAGCCAATTCTTTTTGGTACAGTGACTTTGTGTGCTCCTTCCTTCTTCTTCCATTGCTTCCTGGATCATTCAATATTCTGCACAGAACATTGCAACTTACAGCTTGAATTTGTTCTTTAGTGCCTGTACCTTAAGAAATGCAGAGCAAGTTTATCCCTTTTGATTTTCTGACTCTAAATCTTTGCACATTTCATTATAATTCCTTGTTTTGTCTTCCTGAGCCATTCTTTGAAATTTTCTGTTCAGCTCCTTAACTTCCTGCTTCCTTCTCTATGATTTGGCTTCTCTAGTTCAATATTTAGAGTCTCTTCTAACATTAATCTTTGTCTTTTTTTCCCCTTCCTATGTCTTTGTAATGACCTTTTGATTTTTCATGGATGATATTCTTTATATCATCCCTCAGATCATCTGGTCTTTGCTTATTAATGTTCAAGACCTCAATTCTTTTCCTGAGATTATTTTTAAATTCAGGTGGAATAGACTGAAGGTCAAACTTCAGTTCCTGTGGATTTGATTTAACCTTCTTTATCTTTAGTTTGAACTTGCATATGAGTAGTTGGTGGTATGTTCTACAATCAGCACCTGGCCTAATTTTCACAGCTATTATTTAGCTGCTGCTGCTGCTGCTGCTACTGCTTCTTCTTCTATTGAACTTCAACGAGTCTTTCCACAGATATAATCAATCCGATTCCTGTACATACCATCAGGTGAAATCCATGTGTATAGTATGTGTTTATGTTTCTTATAAATGTATTTGCAA